CACACACACACACAGACACACGCATCAATTTCCTCTTCATTCTTCAATCCAAAACACCAGGAGACCTTTTAAAGTTACTCAAAGGCGGACGGGACTTTGGTCCTGATCCTCTGGGTTTCATCCCATTGACGCATTAGTTCCTCTTTGTGTGAGCACTTGTGTGTGTGGGGGCTCCCATGCCGTCTCGGACTCGGCTTCCACCAGACACTTTGCTCATTAGAGGGAAGAGAGGGCGACTTGAGTGACTTCTTATCGGCTCCCCGCTCAACTTGATCACAAGGCCCGTCCCGTGGAGCCGGAGAGAAAGTCGAGGTTCACGTGTATCGCCTGGAAATAATACAGCGTGACACACCCGGATGTGTGTGTGTGTGTGTGTGTGTGTGTGTGTGTGTATATATATATATATATATATATATATATATATATATATATATATATATATATATATATATATGTGTGTGTGTGTGTGTGTGTGTGTGTGTGTGTGTGTGTGTGTGTGTGTGTGTGTGTGTGTGACAATGGGAGGACTATAAAGGTTACAGGAGTGAAAAAGCAGATTGTCTGGCTATGAAATCTAGCAAATGAATACAAATTTTAACTTAAAAAAAACGTTTTCCCATTACCATACATTCTTGAAGAGGTTTCGCAAACAAGCGTGTAAAGGGCAAACAAAAACATCCTCATCATTGGCCATAAAATCACAGTATGTCAGACTTAAAATCAAAATGTCAAACATTATACAAAATCACTTCAAATCACCGGAGAAAGAGGCACGGAGTTTTGCCATTAGATCCTATCTGTGACTGTGTGCGCCTGTCAGATAAAATACTGCACTTCTCCATGCAATGGTCTAGAAAGGGGGTTCACAAGGAAGCATCCAAAATGTCAACATGTACATAAATACAAAAAAAAAGAATGTTTCGAGCAAGAGTGACATTAAACAGAGAGGAAATGGTTGCGGAGTATAATCGCATCTCTGAAAGAAAGAAAGTTCATGTTTGGGCGTTGCATGATAGCCAGAGATCCAAAATGCAGACAGGAAACATTGGCACGATTTTAAGTTTTTTTGATTGTCTTTCCTGATAAAACTGGCACTGGCTGAAGACTCTCGCAGGTCTTGCGATGATGAAAAGCCACCGGGATTATTTGAATCCTGTAAATCACGGCTAAAAGTCAATGTGTAAAGCCAAGGTCTATGAAACTATCAGTGTGGAATAGAGAACATAGACGATATGTTACCGCATTGCCAAGTGCCACCACTTAATACCATTAATCTTGGTGCCCCCCCCCCCCCCCCATCTCTCTCACTCCGTCTCTGCGTTGGAGTGCTTGGCGTCCTCTAAAAGTATGGATCTTGACCGCAGCCGTTTTCCGCAGAAGAGGGAAAGGCTAAAGAGAAAGCGCTGACCCCTCTTCGCCGCAATTCTCCCCTCATCAACTTGTGAGACTTCATTAACTTCCATGGGGTAATTTCTTCTCTCAGTGCGTTTCTGAGAGAAGGGGGGGGGGGGGGGGGGGGGGGTTATGACGTTTCCTTCCCATCCATTGATCCTCGAGCTATTCTCCTTTCTTTCCTCAGTTTCCCATCCTTAACAGAAGAGATTCCTTCTCACGTTTAACTTTGATACAATGCTTCATTATCTCGTGTATGTATCCAAGGAAATGTGAGGACAAATCCATAAAAAGAGAAAGTAGGATTTTAGGGAAGTACTGTTGCTAATCACATTAATAACCCCATCATTGGGAATATGAATATATTATTTCTTGCTACAGAAAAACAGCACTAAAATCTTTACTTACTCTTATTTCAAAGCAGCGCAATCCTGCACAGGAGCAGCGTTTTAAGATTCACAGCCTTCATCCCTCAGGAGCCCGGAATAAAACACCCACTGCTAATCGTAGTGATGCTCAGTTCAGGCCTCAGTGACATGTTGCATGATGGGAACTGTGAGTCAATGCTGCCCTCTTCAGGAATATCAATGTCACTGCATTGTTAAAATGTCATTCAGATATCTGTATTTGCCTCCGAGTGTGTCAGGTGGCTACTGTGTTTATAGATTTGATTAATCACTGTAGGCGGGCCTATGTGTAATACGATAGTGTCTTGGATATGGGTTAGTTGGCTAAATTGCATGGATATTTTATTGTAGATTATACTTATTCGTGCAATGTAGGTCTTTTGAGATGTTTAACCCTCCTATTGTCTTCGTTCCCCCCCCCTTTTGGTGTTCGCGGTCAAATTTGACCGGTCCTGTTTTAACTGCTATTACATTAACACACCATTAATCATCACCAAATTTCATTTAACACCCTTTCAAACTGTAAATATTGTATCAGACCACTGGCATACATGAAAAACTGCAGTAAATATACAAAGAACAGACACTGAACATGTATTGCGTGTGCCAGGTGTGATCCATGTGGGGGGATGGGCACATAAGAGCGGGAAATGTGTCAAATTGTTCTGTGTGTTTGTGTGCCAGCCAGGTGTGATTCACATGGGGGGATTGGGCACATAAGGGGGGGGATACACACATCTAGAGTATGTGTGTGTGTGTGTGTGGGTGTGGGTGTTTGTGTGTGTGTTTTATCTAATCCGGATGGTTACTAATTCCTTTTCTTTATGGCGGTCATTTTTGACCGGGAACACCATGGGTGTTACAAAGTTTACTAAATCATCCAAAATTCAATGAAAGTGGTGATCAGCAATTTTATATGTTCAAATGTCTACTGTGTCATAAAGCCTTAATGCAATCGAATCTAAAACAAAAAAGTTATGATTGATTAAAGTAGTAAATCGGTCAGATTTGACCCGAAGACAACAGGAGGGTTAAATAAGATAAATCGGCAATATCACTGTGTAGAAAAAGTATGTTACAAGCAAGGCATATACTAAAGTAAAAGTATAAAGTTACAATTGATGCTTTAATGTGTTTTTTTTACATTATTTGACTTGCATTCATCAGGCGGACACAAACAAGGCTCCAAATAAAATATGTTGCTCTATAACTGTTGGCTTTACAAATAAGCCATATGTCCCCAATTGTCAAAGAAGATATATTCTGTTGTTAAGTGGTGTAGTTATTTTTCATTCATATGTTGTTGTCCTTTACAAAGTTTTTGATATTGTTTGGATAGTTTTTTCATTGTAGTATGTATCTGGTATTTTTGCCACAAAAGTAAAGTGTCTGTGATCTGATATGTTTTTCTTAATCCCAAGACATGTTATCTCCAATTTTGCCAACTCATTCCCTGACAAGTTTCCAAAGATAACAGCTTTTATGCAGAACTTTTTAAGTGAACAAGGCCACTACTGAGGCCTTGCTCCGTCATTGAGCAGCCGGTCTCATATGCACTCCAGTAAGCGATGTTCATCTGTCTGTGCCGATATGTAAACTTTCCTCTTTCTCCCTTTCCTCCGAGCAGCTCTACATGATACATGAAGTGCCAGGACCAGGCCTGGCGCAGAGACAAATGCCAACCACTCGCTCTTCCAAATGTCAAATCTGACATGTCGTAGACATTCAATAACCATCCCTGCTGGTCCGATTCAGAGCAGCGCTCTTCAAACAGTCCCTGATGTCTCATGACGAGTGGAGGGGAAATGGCTGCATTTGATCTGCTTCTGGGTATGAGGTCATAAAAACACCTCGTCTTGGACGTGGTGCCTTTAGTGAGCCCTCGAGTGATCACGTGCACAAAGTGATTCCTTCTGGTCATCAGCAAAAGGAACACAGTCAAGAGTTCAACTTATAAAACAGCCCTCATAACCAATAGCAGAAAGTGGTGGCATACACTTTCATCACTTAAGATTTAAGAGATGTTTAAGGGCTTAGTTAGACTATAGCTGTGTGATAAATAATACAAATAAAATGCAAAAATTAAAGCTTGCGTATACAAACATATGTTCGTAAACAAGCAAATGACAGAGCTGGAACTCTGCAAGGCAAACGGTGCATTCATTATCTTCTAGCACGGCCCCCATCTCGAATTGGGAAACCATACTTCTGTCTAAGACAAGTCGTGGGCTTTAAGTCGTAGTGAACAACAACATAGATTAAAAAAAAATTAGAGAGAATTTGACACGTTTCCAATTTGTTGTTTATGACATCGGGAACTAGTTTTCCGAATCATTCAAAAACAAACTTCCAATCTCTAATGTTAAATTGAGTGAAACATAACACATAGTATATATCCACCCTTCCGATAACCACCAAGTTTTGTAAAACTTGAGCCAGTATTTTTTCGTAATCGTGTTGACAGAGACAAAACGAAATGAAACAAAAGTAAACTCCTTGATGGAGGTGTCAACATTTCAAATGATATCATTGAGCATTAAAAATACTGACTTTGAACATTAGGTATATTAAATATGTCTGTTAACAAAGACAGAATAACGCAGTGAGATGACAGATGGCATCATTATTTAAACTGGTTGCTGTAGCAATCATTTAGGGAGCCATCTTTTATCAATATGTTATAGATTCCCTATCAGCAGACTGACTAACTGACCTTTTATTTAGAGGCCGAGATGCTTTTTAAAATAACATTTTAATCTCATTTTGGAACAATTTCTCACCCACAACCCTAATGACAAGCACACCCCTTTACTAAATTAAGTAAAAGTTTAAGAAAAATCGACTAACATGGATGAGCAAAGGTTTAACAAACTAACTCTTATCAGGAATGTTTGTTTTACTGTCATTGACACCACATCTGTAAACCCAGACTATGTTCAGTGGTGATAAACCAGGCAATGATTAGCCAGAGTGCCAACCATTTCTCCCCTCACAATATCCAATATCTAAAAGCAGTACTTTTTATGATCGATCTGGGGGTGTTTTAATTTATACCTACCGCAAATGCATTAACACTCAACATCTTGATTTTCGATGGAATCCATTGAGACTGACGACCTGATTGAAATCATGTGCCAAAAACTGCCAAATACAAAGCATTTGGATTGGAACAATTATAAAGAAATAGGCTGAGAAACTTTCTATGAGCATTCTAGTTTATTGAAGGCACATCCGTTAATTAAGAACACAGTAGCTGTGCTGAACATATACATTCATTGTCAATCACATATTAGAGCTGAGTATTCTACAATTTCTGGACAAAAGGCATTTGCTGATTAAGGCAACAAATTAGACTTTATTTTATTTTATAAAAAAACATTAATTTCTTACTGTTGCCTTCATCATAGCACCCTTGTGATCTTATTTCAATGACACTTGTTAGATTACAACCATAAACACATTGCAAATGTTATAAATAGAAGATACTAACTATTAATATCCAATACCGAGCCTGAGTTTTAGACTCACTACTTCTAATATACAATGCATCACATTTCACAGCAATATTAAATACCAGTGTAAAGCAATTGCTTGTATTGTTATTCACAAGTGTTATGAATGTTGCAAGAATTTGAGTAGGCAGAATTAGGTCTTTGTTCCACAGTTATTATTATTATTATAATTATAGTGTTATATACGGCTGACGTTGTTTCTAGACATGGATCAGTAAACCTAGACCAAATCAGTGGACTTTTCCTATTATGTGCCCGAAGACGGAAAAACCTGCGAGATGTTCTGTTCAAATTCAAGCCGTTTTGCAAAAAACCTCCCGCCTCATTTTAACTGATTTTTCAGACCACTACGAAAAACCAAGTTTTGTGATTAACAGAGGGTAAGCGAAATCTTATCTCCTAAGTTTTATTGATCTGGAATCCTCTGTCTCTTCTGTTTGTCAGTCCCCACCAATTCCTTCATGCAAGCAACCAGGAAATCACGGCACTTAAGTGCATATTGCTCAGGAAATTCCCGCAAATGACCGACATGGGGACTGGAAACAAAATCAAAACTGTCCACGGGGACCCCTTTCCGCTTTAGGGTCTCCACGAACACCTCGATGTCCTTGTGCCGGATCACCTGGTCAGCTCTGGAGTACAGGTAGAAATGAGGCCAGGCAGGCGGCTTCTCCTGCACCGCGTCGTAGTGGTTCTTGTGGATGTACTTGGTCAACGGGTACAGAACGACTCGCAAAAGAAAAACAGTCACTGCGAAAAGGGCTAAGAGGACGTACCTTAATACGGGTGTTATTTTGGGCCCCAGGGTGGCCGCCAGTGCACGCAGGGCCCCGCGAACATTCCCACTACCTGGGGCACTGTCCACTAAGGCCCCAATCACACGCAATGAACTGAACTGTTTGTCATTGTGCAACAAATCTATGATGTAACGATAGAGCATGAAGCCACCGTTACTGAATATGTGAAAGAAAATAGGACTGTTTTCCACCTCATAATCATAGAGGATCTCCAGCAACTTGAGGGCCGTGCTGCTCAGCTCCTTATAGCCAAACGACTCTGAGATGAATACCGTCTTCAGGGGGGCCGTGTAGCGGATGGTGACACATCCCTAAAGAAAATAAAAAAAATTATAATATATTAGGTTGTACTGCTTCTACAATACCACAATGTTTCTCAATGTATAAAAACAGTATATAAAAATGCATTTGGTACAGTGGTGTAAAGTAAACAAGTAGATCACCTCAAGTACTGTAGTTATGTACACATTTGAGGGACTTAACTTTAGTATTTCAATGTTTTGCTACTTTGTACTTCTACTTCACTACAATTCAGAGGTAAATTGTGTACTTTTACTCCACTATATTTATTGTATACCTTCAGTTACACTAGGAGTACATTCACAAGCTACCCTGCAGCATACAAAGTAATTAAAACAGCTTTGATAAACACATGATATATATAATTCTGAAATGTGCATAATGAGTACTTTCCCTTTTGGTACTTTAAGTATTTTTATGCTAATACTTTTCTACTTGTACTTGAGTACAAGATCTGAGTACTTCTCCCACCTCCGATATGGTATCATCTTATCTAGTTTTCACCTGTTCATTGTAGATGGAGCTGTATTTGCAGAGGTGTTTGTCTTTGCAGCCAGCCCAGCCCAACAGAATCACAACTGGCTCCTTTGTCCCCTGCCAGTATCTCTCTGAAATAGAAAAAAAGACGATTAACATCACGAAAAGCTGCCACAGCTAGCAGAGCTAAAGGAAGCTACCAAGCTAAGCTAACAGCACAACATAATTCGATGTATTACGCCTTCCTTGTAAGACAAAAGTTAGCATGTACGCTAAGCTAACTGAGGCATGAACGTACAGTACAATGAAATAATGCTCACCCGATGTCGCCGCATCTGGAAACACGATATTGTAATCAATTTCATCGTCTGCCATTTCTGAGTATCAACTGTTGTTCTCTAACGGTAACGGACGGTTCATTTGGCTATTGTAAAATGGCTGATAAAAAAAGCTACAGATAGATATAATGATCAAAGACAGCGTGTAATAAATTAGACACACAGCAGACAGCTTGCTGGACTGTCATTATCAAACGGCCCCATTTCTTCTTCTTTGTGCTTTAAAAGGGTGGATGGCATTCAGCTAACATTGCAATAGCGCCACCTCTGTATACGCTTCAAAACAACATGGCTTCCAGATACAGTAGTTCACCAAAAAATCATAACAGGCTAAAGACAGGAATAAACAGTGTTCTAAGAAGTACTGAGATATTTTACTTAAAAATTACAAATAATATGACCTTTAAATACTCTATGAGTAAAAGTCCTGATTTCAACTTAACTTAAGTTAAAGTAAAAAAGTATAAGCATCAAAATGTACAACAATTACTAATTATTCACAACTACCATTTCAGAATAATATAATGTACATAGTATATTATCAGCCAAATGTGCTTCAAGTATCAAAAGTAAAAGTATGTGCTGTGCACAAAGGATCGTTTCATAGCAAATCATGACTCTTTGGGAAAAGCAAGTCATGATATCCAGCCAAAGCTTCAGAGTGCATAGGATGGAAGAAAGGGTGATCAGTTGTTTCAATATATTCACAAGAAACAAAATCATTTGTGACTTTTCCAAAATAGTGTCATATCAAATCACTGGATGGATACATTTACTATGGAGCTATAGGGAATTTTAAATATCTAGTTCGTAACATGAATAAAAATATGAATACAAAATAAAACACTATACTGTCAGGACAGCACTCTTCTCTACACAAACTAATCATAAGATTTGTAATTCAAGTAAGTATTAATAAGAGATACAAATTAAATAACTCAAAACCGTTTATTAAGGACTTACTAACAATTATAAATGCAGATAAAAGGACTTGTTAGATAGTTAGAGACACATGATCTGATTGATGCAGAAAATGAAACATTTATTATAAAACAGTGCAGAGGCTTAAAGTACACAGTAAAAGAGCACATTGGACGTCGTTTTGGGGGCGTTGTTGGAAAAGTAAGGCACTGAAGTCTCGGATGGAGCGTCTCTGCAATCTTTGGACTTCAATGAATCGGCTTGCGTAGAAAGTGCTGGTGGTTGCAGAGATGGGGAGGGGCATTTTTAGTTCTGGCGATGAGCAGGAGGGGTGGTGAACGTGCACGATAGGGAGGAGGAGGAAGCATATCTGGATCTGGAAGTCCAACAAGGCCTGGAGAAAACACAAAGAAAAGGTGTTGCATTAAAATAGCATTCATCAGCAAACTTCCATCAAGAATCCCATTACTTAATGTCTCATACTGCTATACTGTACGTACAGGTGGGAGGAAGAGGAGCTCTTTCTGTTTCATGAAGGCATCATCACAATCAGTCAGGTTCATGTTGAGGAGTGTGTGCTCAGTCTTTCACACCACGTATGGAAACACCTGTGAGAAGAAGAAGAAGTGAACAGAATATAAACAGAAGCCCAGCTCAGCCCAGGCATGCTATTTTTATACAGATATATTTTTCCATGTTTACTCAAAGATCATATTTACCAGTGTTTCTCTGCTCGTTGCTGTTCCACTTAGATCCAACCATGGCAGTAGGATAACATCTGTGCAGGTTTCCTTATAGAGGCTGAAGGTGGAGGTTTGACCCCAGCTTTCTGTGGGAATCGTCAGGTGGAGGATAGTGATGGGAATTATGGCTCTTTGAAGGGAGCCGGATCTTATGGCTCCGTTCCTTTCAAAGAGCCGTTCAAAAGAGCCGTTCAAAAGAGCCGTTTTTTTAAAAAGGGGGCGGGGTTACTAGGTTTATCTGCGAAATAATCACCAGGATAATGATTGACTGCATTGCCAGACCTAATGTCAATAATCTGCATTGTAAACATGACACAAGGTGGCGCCATATCCATGTCATTCATGTCAGTGAATGTACTTTGAATTTACCCTCTGCATGTGTTAAGTAAATAAAGTTGCCTTGCCTTGAATGAAATTCACGCAACTCTTAATATTAGTAGTGTGTTTTTAAGTGGCGATGGAGATTATTTGTTGACCCTGCTTTAAAGGATATGTTGCCTTTACAAATGGTGCGCTTTATCACTGCCTGGGTTTTGGTTGAAGTGCATCCAAATGCTGCTGCGTTTTCGCGTTTGGCTCATTTTACATCCGAAAAACACGTCGTCTATCTGTCCAGTACCACTTGTTATGACTTCTCTCTCTCGCGTATTCCGTTAAGACCCACCCCACCTAACTCCTCGTGCTGAAACCTACAAATCAGAGTAGGGGCGGGTCTTCACAGAATACGTTTGGGGAACAAAATCAAGCTTTTTAAAAGGCGAGTGAATTTTGGCAGGCAGTGAGTGCGGACCAACTTTGATTGAACGATAAGAAGAACGGCTCTCACCAAGTACGACTCGGTTCCCCTCGTTCGTACCAAAGAGCCGTTCAAAAGAATCGGCTCGTTCGCGACCGACACATCACTAGTGGAGGAGGTGTCTTCAGGCGGCTGGCAAAGGTTACAGGTGGAGGTTTGGATGGCAGTAATGTACGAGAGGTGGAGGTGCTGGTTCAGGTTGCTGACAAAAGTTGTCAGTGGAGGTTGAGCAGTAGCGATCTGTAAAAATCTGCAGGTGGAGGCGGCAGCTGCAGATTGCTGACAGAGGCTGTGGGTGGAGGTTCGGCCGCAGTTGACTTCAAGAGGTGTAGACGCAGGTGCACAGGCAGAGGCTGTAGGAGGTGGTTTGGCTGTCAGCAGTGTCAGTCAGAATCTGCAGGTGGAGGCGGTGGCTGCAGGAGAAACTGGTGGTGGTTGCTGAGATGGGGTGGGGCACTCTTAGTTCTGGCGATGAGCAGGAGGGGTGGTGAAGGTGGAGGATGTGGAGGAGGAGGAGGAAGCATCTCTGGAACAGAGCTGTTGTAGAAGGAGTTGTCCTCAGGGGCCTGAATCAGCTCCTGGTAGACCTGGAAGTGTAAGGTGTTTCATTCAAATATAATTCATCCCCAAACTTCCATTAAAAATCCCATTACACTCAGAGTGTGCTGTTAAGAAATCTCATACTACTATACTGTACATACAACTTGGGAGGAAGAGGAACTCTCTCGTTTCATGAAGGCATCATCACAGTCAGTCAGGTTCATGTTGAGGAGTGTGAGCTCAGTCTTTCACACCACGTTTGAAAACACCTGTGAGAAGAAGAACAAGTGAACAGAATGTAAACAGAAAGCTAGCTTTAATAACACAGATATATGTTTGCATTTTAACTGAAGGACTATATCTGCGCGTGTTTCTCTGGTCCTTGCTGTTCCACTCAGGTCTCCACATGGCAGTAGGATAACATCTGTGCAGGTTTCCTTATAGAGGCTGTAGGTGGAGGCTCGGATAGCAGTTCACTTCGAGAGGTGTTGGCACAGGTGCACTGGCAAAGGCTGTAGATGGAGGTTTAGCCATCAGCTATTCAACAGAATGTGCAGGTGGAGGAGATGGCTGCAGGTTGCTGACAGAGGCTGCAGGTGGAGAGGAGTCTGTCATCTCACAGGCTGCAGAGCAAGGCTGATGTTTTGTCTGGTAGAAGTAACAGGTGGAGGCTGGAGGGTGGAGCAGGTGTTCTGGCAGGTGATAACTGTTGCTGTTGAGGCTGAAGCTGATTGAGAAGACTGTTAACAGAGGAGCATGAACTGATTCAGAGGAAGACAATTCATCAGTGGTGAGATACATTAAGATCAATGAAAGTAAACTTATCTCAAACTAAATACCAACTCTTAACACTAAATACTTATTCTTAACACTACATTCTTAAACTTATTACTAAATACTTAAACTAAACACTTAATACTTATACTTAGCAGTAAAAACGTACACTTAATACTAAATACTTCAAACGAAATACTTTAACGAAAAACTTAAACTAAACACTTACTCTTAACACTTTATAGTTATACTTATGACTAAATACTTAAAACTTAACACTTAACACTTAACACTTAACACTTAATACTTATGCTTGGCACTAAAGACTTATCTCTACACTTAATAAACTTAAACTTAACTGCCATACTTAAAACTTAAAACTACTCAAATGAAACTGAAAACAACTAAACTAAACTTAAAGCACAGTGTTATTTAGACATGTCAGCTTATGAGAGTGTGTCTTAGTGCTTTGCCCTTTTTGCTGGTGGATATTCGGGCTCTGGTTCACCAGAAACATCCACGTTGAAGAGCGGAGGCTGGACTCCAGCACCGTAGGACACGTCCACATGGACCAGACCGTCTTCATCCACTGTCTCTGTGAACATCGGACGGTCCAGTCGCTCCCACAGCTTCTGCTTGATACGACGACCCAGACCCAAACTATATGGACGCAGGAGACCGTTCGGGAACCTGAGAGGAGAAACACAAAATAAATCTTTATGATGAAGGAAAACAGAGAGATAGATTTCTAAGAGAGTCTAAACTCTGTAAATGAACTGACTCATTTGATTTGTGACACAACGTACCTCAGCATGTTATCCACAACTTCATGGTAGATGAGCTGGTACTCCTCGACTGAGCGGTTGTGGATCCTGATAGGGTTGTCGAGGTGCAGGGGAGCAGTGGAGGTCCGGGGGCTGGGGGCCACATTAGAGACAGGGGGCAGGTCAGCAGGTTTAGGAGGAAGAGCAGCGGAGGTCTGCTTCCTTTTCTGGGGAAGGTCTGCAGAAGCAGCAGGGCGCCTGCGCTTTGTATGTGGCACCTGGAGAAGGTCAGCAAAACACGAGAGGATGTCAGACTCTAGTAAACTTCTTACTTAACAACATACTTTTATCATTTTACAAGAGGAAACATCTACATCAGATGCACTGCAGAGGATTACTTGAAATGTGAGTATTTGGGGCATTAGTCCTGTACAATGGACCTTGTCTAGTCTCAAACAAGTTAGTATTGACAATATACTCCACTATGTGTTTGCCTTTTTGTAAACCTGTCAAATAATCTTGTGGATTAAACTGTGTACAATTCCAAGGAACAGAGTTGAGGATCAGATGTCTCACCTGGTCGTCCCTGCAGCAGGGACACTGTCTGCAGACTGCAGGCCTCCTCTGGCGGGCAGAGACTCTCCTTCCTGTCTGGTTGTCCTGCGGGAGGACGGGCACTCGACCCTGCAACAACACACACTCATGTTAGGATGAGGCTCTACAAGTACATGCAGGATGGACCTTTTTCAAGTATTTTGTCATGTCGTAGTATAAAAATAAAATGTGTTATTACTATTATTTTATGTGCTGGAAGATTAACTTGCCAAATATGGATGTGATTGTTGGATAAAAATCATAAATGAAGGAACATGAAACATGTAATCAAAGTCTGAAAACCTCCTCAAGACGAGACAGGTCCGGTAACAAATCAAGACCCACCTTTAGGCCCTCATGTCAGTTAATATGTGCTTTATTGAGGCATAGGCCTATGTGAAGTGTATATAATATTATATATATTAAGCATATGTCTGTTTACTGTTTGAACATATAATATTGCACATCTGATGGAAATAATGCTAAGTTAAAGTACTTCAGAATAACTTTAATTAGCTACATTCAAAGTTACAATATGAATGTATTTCAGCTTGAAGCTGGGTGGGTGATATAGCCTAGAAAGTTAATATAAATGATTTGTATTACTAATAAAAATCATTTATATTAACTTTCTAGGCTATATCACCTTTCAATTATTGGAACATTTATTTGTTAATATTGTCATAGCCTATAGTTTTGATGAATTCATGTGTATTTTTGGTATGGTTTGTAATGCATAGATTCATTAATTGAGTCGTCACAATAGCAACTTGACCTTAATCTGATGGTTACAGTGTTTAATGCGTTACAGGAGCCTAAATGATTTGATAAACATCAGTAAACTGTGAGGTTTCTGAAAATGTCGACGGCAAATCACATTGGAAACAACGGGGACTTTCAAAGTCATGACATCTTACATTTTCCATAATTAAAGTGTGTTTTCTCGCTGTAATAACTCTCAGGGGGTCTCTGACTCTTGTCGGGATGTAAAAAGACTTGAGTAGAAACGCTAATTTGGAAGAATCGTCGAGTGAAAGCGGAGAAAATATTTTCGTGACCGTCTTCAGGTAGTTTTCAGGTTGTTATGGTTTAAATATTGATCCGATATTGACGCTAGTCCTGCGTCAAACCATAGCAACCATGGAATCCTCTACGTCCATTTTGTGCACGCAGTCACGTTTTACCTGCTCTAATATAAAGTTTACTATCAGCCTGAGATAAAGATAATATAAATATGAATCTGTATAACTGGTATTAAACTGGAAATGTATTACACACAGCTTTCAGTTTGCAGTGTCTGATATAAAACGTGTTTAACTCTATAAATATATAAAAGCTTACGTGCTGTGATTTCATTGCAATCATTATGTAAAATATAAACTAGATTTTGTTTAGCCTATATTTTCCAGTGAACCATACTGTGGCAACTGAAGACAAGATGGACCTGTGTTTTGTTAAGTAGAATATTAAAGAAAGAGTTTGTCTCTTTCATGATTGTTTTTTTGACAAAAGTTTCAAGTGAAGATTTACACTAATTTTATCTCTGTACATTGCCTTTTTTTTGTATCACAGGGCAGGGCTCTTCCTGGGTGTATGGCCTTCCTGAAGTGGGACGCAGGGGCGGATCTACCGGGGTGGCATGGGGTGGCAACTGCCACCCTAAAAAATAGCCATGCCACACCAGCTGCCACCCCAGTTGGCATCTTTGTTTTGAAAGAAAAGTTTTGGCTCATCGGACATTTATGAGAGAAAGTCTCTAATGTCCGAGTGCAAATGTATGCTGCACAAGACGCAAGCCTTGTAACCCCTCCCCCGGCCCTGGTGCGAGCTTGGAAATATGATAGGCGGCAATTTCATTTGAACGGGACGGCGCAAAACGAGAAGCATTCGGACCCAAGTAGACGGAAGGAATGAGGTATTTGCGGTCTACAATGACAGAGAAGAGACTGTCAAGTTTGGCTGTACTCAGCATTGAATCAAAACGCACTAAAGCTGTTGATCTTAATAAGTTTGTGAGCGTTTTGCTGAACAAAATGGTAATCGCCGCATTCAGCTGTAATAGGCATGTAGGGCGCGGGAAGGTATTTTGAGTGGGGGTGGACTCCACTGTATAGAAAACTGTAGTTTCCATAGTTTCCCCATAGCAGCAGACGCACAAATGACGTCTGCTGGCGCATCATAAACACGTCGGATATTGAAAGTGCAGTCGGATTCTGAAAACACTGCAGTCTCTTCTCCTAAGTCCTTTTGAAATCTCCTATCCACTATCCCTTAACCCCGTGACGTTTCACACAGAGGTCAAGGAATAGACGATAAGGATAGACGATAGGTGCTGATTTTTGGTGATAACTGATTTTTCCTCCTGAAACAAAGCACAGTGTTCATCATCACTCAGTCTGACCCCTCCCTCACTAAAACATATTTTTACGCATAGCTATATATCACAGGAGGGTTGCTTTAATACACATTTACTGTAGTTGTTTATACCTTTTCAACTTTTCTTTGAAATATTAAGCTTCATCACTATTTGTCCTACTCTTCCAGTTTAACATTTCGCTTTCAACAAAGTCAGTGCATTTGAGCTGTAACAATTTTGATTCAAATCATTTCACTTTTCTGCATTTCTCCGCTAAGTTCAGCAGTTTGTAGCTAAAAGCAGCTACAGTCACCATTCAACTATTACAATATTTCATTTTCAGCTAAATTCAGCAACAAATGTGCACAGTTTACGGCATTTGCACGCATTTTCAGCAGGAAATGCATTTCCTAGTTGTATCTTGTGCCTCCACTGTGACTGTGACATGTTTCACAAGACACGTTACTTACAGATAAACAAATATAGCTGACAGCGTTAAAATATAACTAGAATGACAGGAGTCCAATAGAGGCGTTTCAGGTTCGGTTCTGTGATTGGTCAACCACTTAGAGATATCCCGCCCCTTATCCTATCACGTACAAATGTGTTGGAGCGCTAGCCAATAGAAGTGCAAGTGTTACATAGTGTAAATATCTTACCCAGCCCTCAGACACCTCGCTGTAATCAAAGCGCTCAGACTTCATTGAAAAGAACAGAAGTCTTACACATTAGTCTCACTGAAGACTTTTCTTTTTGCCGCTGCTTTTAATTGAACTATTCACATCTTAAACTGCACTGTAACTTTTAACTTTTATCCATGTATTTTTTCTTTTAATGTTTATTTTATTATCTTTCCTTTTTAATGACTGATTTTAAATGCCATTTTTAAAATGTCTTCCATTTTTGTAAAGCACTTTGAATTACCTTGTGTTGAAAGGTGCTATATAAATAAACTTGCCTTGCCTTGCCTTGCCTTGCCTTACCTTCCAGATTAAAAAGGAATCACTGATCGGGCGTTTCAATGTGCTAACTCTCTAAAGCTTGTTAGATTACAAGGACAGGCAGGCGTGAACATATTACGCCATAATACTCGCCTCTTTACATTGACTACCAGTCAATTTTAGAATACAATTAAAAATGTTACTGTTCGCATACAAAGCCCTAAACGGTTTAGCCCCCCCACCGTACCTGGCAGATCTTTTAAAACCATACACACCCACACGGTCACTGAGGTCTGCTGACAGACTCCTTCTGGTCGTCCCTAAATCGAGGTTAAAGCAGCGAGGAGACAGAGCCTTTGCTGTTGCAGCTCCAAAAGTATGGAACGAATTGCCCCTCCAGGTTAGACTTGCTCCAACTCTGCCTGTTTTTAAATCTCGTTTAAAAACCCACTTCTTTTCCCTGGCATTTACAGACCAGGTGACACTTGTGCTTTTACATTTGGGTTTTTATCTTACTAGTATCTTGTATTGTTTTTATGTCATGTAGGAGAGTTTCTCAGTCTGTGGCTTCTGATCTGGTTTCATTGTCTCGTGTTTTACATTTGTTTCATGTCCTGTCTGTTTTTTATGTATTTATGCTATGTTTTTATACAGTTGTTGATGTCCAGCACTTTGTTCAACTCTGTTGTTTTTAAATGTGCTATAGAAATAAAGTGGATTGGATTGGATAATGATCAACGACAATTATAGGGAAATAGAAAATAAAACTGATGATATAACAAAAAAACTTTATTAATCTGTGTTTGACGACCAATTGGCAAACAAGAGGATGTTAAAAAGTGGTAAAATGTTGAAAATAAAACCACTAAAAGTCATAATAAACAACATTTAAGTGAAAATACAGAGAATTAAAAATGATGATTAAATAAATGATTAAATCTTAATAATAGAAATAGGTAGAATAAAGATTATGACCAATTATCACATTTAAACAATGATATAGCACCTTTTAGAGCTCCTCTAATACACTTCAAAGGGTTTGACAAGCAATTGATAAACATTTGAAAATAAAAAATAGATTATAACAATAAAAAAAGTCATTCAAAAATACAATGAAATGGAAAATAAAGATGATAGAGTTATAAAGTACATAATAACCAGACCGCAATGATGTATTTTATTTAAAATCAGATTACGTTCAGACCCTCACAGACCCTCTGTCAGAAAGCAGCACGGCCAAAACACTTCACTGTCTCTTTGGATCACTTGCTGTCTCCTCTGGGTTCTGGGGTGTAGAACTGGAACGTGACGCAAACAGGGACCCCGGTCAGAGCGGTGCTTAGAGGGATCTTTAGGGTGGGGGCTGCCGTGGAGAAAGGGTGAGGAAACTCTGGAGGGGGGAGGCAGAGGTAGAGGCATCCACATGTGGAAGGACGTTCAGGAGGTCAGCGCTCGGAGAAACGTCCACAAACAGAGCTATGTTTGCTGGGTCTTCAGGGAGGAGAGGGAAGGGGGGTCTGTGGAGGTCTGAGGGTCCTCTGAGAGGAGAGGAGGGAAGGAGATGAGGAGGGGAGGGGGTGAGGAAGGGAGTGAGGAAGGAGGTTCAGTCTCCTGGATCACGTTAGGTAGGGGTGTCTCTGTGATGGGGTCCTGTGGGGGGGGATCCTGGGAAGGGGACACAGCAGGGGACGTCTCCTCGGAGGAACTCACCTCCATGGACTCTAAGGAATCTGAGGTTTCTTCTTCTCCATTGAGACACATCTGTTGGAGGGTAAAAAGAAAAGATTTAAAAGAAGGTTTCAACCACAAATCATCATTTTGGTGTCAATTAAAGAGGACGTGTAGTTTTCAGGTTCATAGTTGGTGTGAATGCACAGGATAAGGAGTTATTTCTATATAAAAGCCCCCCCCCCACACACACACAATACTACTACTACTACCACTACTACTAGTACTTACAGTAAAAAACGACTTACTGTACATCCAACTATTAATCAGCTATTTCAGGACATTGAGGCTATACATTTACAGTGGAGGAAACAAATATTTAACCCCCTTCAGATTTTGTAAGTTTACCAACTTATTTTACAACTAAAAGCTCTTTTCAAATGAAGAGGAGGTTGTAACCGAGGCTCTGTGTAGGTCAGAGTCAGAGTTTGATAAGCCCTCCCTCTTCTTCCTGCTCTCAGACACAGCCAGCTCCACTCTGTATTTCCTGGCTCCTCCCCTTCAGATCCACACTGAGGAGGGAGGGTGTAACCAACATGTGGGTAAAGCACAAGAGCTGATAGGCCACATTCACTGCACACACACATGCTGTTCAGATAACCTGTCACACTAGTTTCAGCTCTCAGGAAGTGAAACTCACACACTCGCTGCTACTGAGAGGTGAAATGGCGCAGAAAGGAGTTCAGCTGGACCGGCAAACCTTCTCTTGTCCCATCTGTCTGGATCTACTGAAGGATCCGGTGACCACTTCCTGTGGACACAGCTACTGCATGAAGTGTATTACAGGCTTCTGGGACGGAGAGGATGAGAAGAAGATCCACAGCTGCCCTCAGTGTAGGCAGAGCTTCACACCGAGGCCTGTCCTGCTGAAAAACACCATGTTAGCAGCTTTAGTGGAGGAGCTGAAGAAGACTGGACCCCCACCTGCTCCTGCTGATCACTGCTCTGCTGGAGCTGAAGATGTGGCCTGTGATGTCTGCACTGGGAGAAAGCTGAGAGCCTGTAAGTCCTGCCTCGTGTGTCTGGCCTCTTACTGTGACCAACACCTTCAGCCTCATTATGAATCACCTGTCTTTAAAAAACACAAGCTGGTGGAGCCCTCCAAGAAGCTCCAGGAGAACATCTGCTCTCGTCACGACGAGGTGATGAAGCTGTTCTGCCGCACTGATCAGCAGTGTATCTGTTCCCTCTGCTCTGTGGACAAACACAAAGGCCATGACACAGTGTCAGCTGCAGCAGAGAGGACTGAGAGGCAGAGAGAGCTGGAGGGGAGTCGACAAAACATCCAGCAGAGAATCCAGGACGGAGAGAAGGAGGTGAAGCTGCTTCAGCAGGAGGTGGAGGCCGTCAATGGCTCTGCTGATAAAGCAGTGGAGGACAGTGAGAAGATGTTCACTGAGCTGATCCGTCTCATGGAGAAAAGAAGCTCTGATGTGAAGCAGAAGGTCAGATCCCAGCAGAAGAGGGAAGTGAGTCGAGTCAAAGAGCTCCAGGAGAAGCTGGAGCAGGAGATCTCTGAGCTGAAGAGGAGAGACGCTGAGCTGAAGCTGCTGTCTCACACAGAGGATCACAACCAGTTTCTGCACGGCTACCCCTCACTGTCAGCCCTCAGTGAACCTACACACTCATCCAGCATCAACATCCGTCCTCTGAGCTACTTTGAGGACGTGACGGCGGCCCTGTCAGCAGTCAGAGACAAACTACAGGACGTCCTGAGAGAGGAATGGACAAACGTCTCACCGACTGAAGTGGATGTTTTACTGTCAGCAGCCGAGCCCACCACCAGAGCTGGGTTCTTACAATATTCACAGGAAATCACACTGGATCCAAACACAGCATACACACGGCTGGTATTATCTGAGGGGAGCAGAAAAGCAACACACATGGAACAACATCAGTCTTATTCTAGTCACCCAGACAGATTCACTCATTATCATCAGGTCCTGAGTAGAGAGAGTCTGACTGGACGTTGTTACTGGGAGGTGGAGTGGAGAGGGACAGGAGTTTGTGTAGCAGTCGCATACAAGAATATCAGCAGAGCAGGGAGTGGGAATGAATGTGGATTTGGACTCAATGACAAATCTTGGTCCTTAGATTGTAAACAAAACAGTTATTCATTTCGTTACAACTGTATCATCACTCCCGTCTCAGGTCCTCAGTCCTCCAGAGTAGGAGTGTACCTGGATCACAGAGCAGGTATTCTGTCCTTCTACAGCGTCTCTGAAACCATGACTCTCCTCCACAGAGTCCAGACCACATTCACTCAGCCGCTACATGCTGGAGTTCGGCTTTATTCTAGTTATGGAGCCACTGCTGAGTTTTGTAAACTCAAATAGCCTGAAGTCATTGGAGGAACTCTTCTACTTCTTAAAGTCACCGTGTACATCAGAGCTGATTGTTCATGTCTTCACTGTGCAGAGATCAGCTGTCAATCAAACTTTATGGGATGTGCTTCAACATCTTCTCATGAGTTGTTCTGTAAATGTTGGACTTTCTTCCGGCTCCTTCCTGTGTCTGTTTAGCCATGGAGGCTGTCACTGCTCAGGAGGATCCTTGTTCACCTGAACTGATATGTAAACTTTGCTCTAAATATGTGTTGGATATTTCTTTTGATTCATGTTGTTGTTTCTCTTGTAATGCACGAGTCTTCAGAGAGAAAGCAGCTTCTTTTATTGTACACATTTTATTCTGCCCACTTTCTAAAACAACAGAGACATTTATAATCACATGTATTATTTTGACAGATTACATTTTATTGTTGCCCAAATTAACTAACAAATAAGTCCCCAGATGGTTATAACACTTATTTCATCATAACATCTTTATTTAAAATGATATTACTTACTGTCATGATCATAATCAATAAGTACATCATTTATTATTCTGCTGTAAATAGCTTAGATTCTTTGCTTGGGAAATACATTGTATAATATTACAGTTATTGTTTTGCAGACTAATTGTTGTTGTTGTTGTTGTTGTTGTTGTTGTTGTTGTTGTTGTTGTTGTTGTTGTTGTTATCCAAATAGAAATTGGGTACTCTGATGTTTTATAGAACATAACTTATCATGATAATAATCAATAAGGAAATCATGTATGATTCTGTTTTAAATAGCTGAGATTAAACACATTCATGGTGTGGATAAAGTGAAACTGATCATGAAATCATTGAACAGACTTTACTGATGGGATGTGTGATCAAATTAAATGTTTGGATCATTAATAAAGTTTTGTCTTTCAAAAACAAACAGGATGTTCTTCTTGTATTGTGTCCAAGGTGCCATAAGAAGCTGATGGAGAACATGTGGAAGTGATCTGAGACTAAATGAAGTTCAGCGCAAGTTCAACAGGAAGACCTTCTTTACTCATTAATTTACTATTTCCATGTTACTGCTCTCTCTCCTCTCAATAAGTGATCGGGGGCGTCACTCCCCAGCTTAACCAATCACTTCGCTCTATTCTCACAAGCCTATCATAGCGCTCCGCTAACCCTTTTAAATCTGCTCCCCCCTCTGACAGCTGTCATTTCAGGTGACTCGACGCAACCCTCCTCCACCCCTTTTCACCTCCTGTCCCTCTGAATCCAGGGTCAAGCTAAGCCCCTCCCCTTCAGACTGACCCCAACTATCCATTCACCACCACCAGTGTCTAGACCCCGGGGGGTTTCATCGGATCGGTTCTCCCCTCCAGAATGATACTCCTGCACAACGGGGCCTAATCGCCAAAACTCCATCACATTCATTTGTGTATTCCTGGCAATAAATATGTATTCTTACATCATCACCGTCTCTCCTGATTGAATAACTGAGTTTCCTCCTGAAACAAAGCACAGTGTTCATCATCACTCAGTCTGTCCCCTCCCTCATGCTAGTGGAGCCACGCAGCGGCGAAACCGTGCAGCGCCACACTAATTGCACCGCATAAGCGCATGGGTGCGCCGCATCTTCGGCTCAGTTGAGGCCCCCTCCGCAAGATAAGGCCCCCTCCGCAAGATGAGGCCCCACGCAGTCTGCATGATCGGCCTGTAGGGAGGGACGGCCCTGCTTATTAGCTGGCCCTAACGTGTAAAGTTATACAAGCATTTTGTACCAGTGCTTTTCACAAGTAGACTCTTGCAGGCCAGAGTAGCTGGAGTGATTCAACATCAACAAAAAGACATATCTGAGAAGTGATCAGGATGAACAGATAGAGGAAAAGGAAAAGAGAGTTCACTGAAGAGACCAGGAGGGTCAGAGCAGGAGGAAGAGGAGGAGATGAAGACATTAGTGAAGAAGAAGAAATGTATGTGAGGAATAAAGATGAAGTGTCAGAAAGAGGGACAGAGGCAGGGATCAGGAGGCAGATGAGACTCCAGCTGGACCACATGGTATGTTCTTATTCTCCTTACATATTCCATTACAGCAGCACAATCTAGCGGCTCTTAGTATTGACAAATAAGTATTGAAATGTGTTGCTGCACAGGTCACCTTTAGCTCTCTGAAGAGATGGGTGATGTCATTTGTGTACTTCATTATAACTAAGTACTTTTACTGTACTTACAGTAAACAGAGTTCTAGGTATCATGAGTACTTTGCTGTTTTATACTATATGTTAGTTTGTTTGTCTGAACACCTTGTTTCTCTTGTGCATTAAGAACACTTGTGTTAGGGCATGACTTAACAATAAATAGGTTATATATATACAGTATAAAATACCACGTACTGTCCGCCCTCCCATGCCACCCTGGCATGACCTCTTGCCCCCCCCTTGCCACCCCATGTCAAATGTTCTAGAACCGCCACTGGACAGGAGACAACAAGAACAACACAACCAGTGTGATCCACAGCGGTCAACATCTAGCACCCCATGATATACACTTGACTGCTTTGATATTGAATTCAATGAAAACACCTCTATTAAATAATCCTGTGTTCTGTGACATACTTTACCCTCAGTGATGTGTTAAAGCTGAACTACTTCCAAACAATGTTGTCACCAGGAATCTGTTTCAACTGAAAGTATTTGTAACAACAAACAAATGTAATTCCTTCTCCATCACACAAACAGAAACAAGAAAACGTTTGTCCAGAGGGTGGCGCCAGAGGATAGGCTGAGTTACTACAAAGATCAAATGGTTTATCCTGTGAAGGAGCTATATACACCAACTTTCACTGTTGTCAGTTTGCAAACATTTCAAAAATTAAATGATTATCCATCTTGTAGTTCACAATGAAAATTTATTTATCGACAATCTGATTTTTTAAATGTAAAAATGGGATGTCAACTTGTGAGTGTGGTACTATTGGTGCCATACTGCTGATTTATTAACTATTACTTCCATGGACAGTCGATTCAAAATGATGTGCCGGTTATAGCAAGGGATTATATTATTGGCATTTTGTTCTAATCATCCTTCAAGATAAAACCAGTATAAGTAAATAATGAAATAAAGACAATGATCATTTTTAAAGAGCATACATTTATTTTTTTAAAGGTAACTCCTGTAAAAGGTAACACACATCTAAAATGAAGAATGAATGCAAATCAAGGATCTGGCTGTTTTCAGAGAAACCTTAGAAACAATACCTGGCTTGATCAAAACAGCTGCCACTGAATTGTACTTGTAAAATGTACAAAAGTCTTACAAAGAAATAAAAACAGTATAGAACATGAGAAACTTACATTTCTACACTGCCAGACTGAAAGGTTGTGCCACAAGCAAACTGACCCCCTATTCCCCAATTCTTAAAAAATGTCAAATGAAAATCAACAAAAAATCCTGGTTCCCTAGTTAGGGATTACTTATTCTTAATCCATCCATCCTGAGGGGGGGCATGGACCAAATTCCAAGCCAATCTATTCAATAATTGTCAAAATGTGTCACTAAAAACAGAAATTGTCAACCTCGTAGTGACAGAGTCAGGAAAAAATAATCAAATAGGAACAGGCTAAAGACAGGAATAAACAGTGTTGGAAGAAGTACTGAGATATTTTACTTAAAAAGTACAAATAATATGATCTTTAAAAAATGACTAATTCTTCACAACTACCATTTCAGAATAATATAATGTACACAGTATATTATCAGCCAAATGTGCTTCAAGTATCAAAAGTAAAAGTATGTGCTGTGCACAAAGGATCGTTTCATAGCAAATCATGACTCTTTGGGAAAAGCAAGTCATGATATCCAGCCAAAGCTTCAGAGTGCATAGGATGGAAGAAAGGGTGATCAGTTGTTTCAATATATTCACAAGAAACAAAATCATTTGTGACTTTTCCAAAATAGTGTCATATCAAATCACTGGATGGATACATTTACTAAGGAGCTATAGGGAATTTTAAATATCTAGTTCGTAACATGAATAAAAACATGAATACAAAATAAAACACTATACTGTCAGGACAGCACTCTTCTCTACACAAACTAATCATAAGATTTGTAATTCAAGTAAGTATTAATAAGAGATACAAATTAAATAACTCAAAACCGTTTATTAAGGACTTACTAACAATTATAAATGCAGATAAAAGGACTTGTTAGATAGTTAGAGACACATGATCTGATTGATGCAGATAATGAAACATGTATTGTAAAACAGTGCAGAGGCTTAAAGTACACAGTAAAAGAGCACATTGGACGTCGTTTTAGGGGGCGTTGTTGGAAAAGTAAGGCACTGAAGTCTCGGGTGGAGCGTCTCTGCAATCTTTGGACTTCAATGAATCGGCTTGCGTAGAAAGTGCTGGTGGTTGCAGAGATGGGGAGGGGCATTTTTAGTTCTGGCGATGAGCAGGAGGGGTGGTGAACGTGCACGATAGGGAGGAGGAGGAAGCATCTCTGGATCTGGAAGTCCAACAAGGCCTGGAGAAAACACAAAGAAAAGGTGTTGCATTAAAATAGCATTCATCAGCAAACTTCCATCAAGAATCCCATTACTTAATGTCTCATACTGCTATACTGTACGTACAGGTGGGAGGAAGAGGAGCTCTTTCTGTTTCATGAAGGCATCATCACAATCAGTCAGGTTCATGTTGAGGAGTGTGTGCTCAGTCTTTCACACAACGTATGGAAACACCTGTGAGAAGAAGAAGAAGTGAACAGAATATAAACAGAAGCCCAGCTCAGCCCAGGCATGCTATTTTTATACAGATATATTTTTCCATGTTTACTCAAAGATCATATTTACCAGTGTTTCTCTGGTCGTTGCTGTTCCACTTAGATCCAACCATGGCAGTAGGATAACGTCTGTGCAGGTTTCCTTATAGAGGCTGAAGGTGGAGGTTTGACCCCAGCTTTCTGTGGGAATCTTCAGGTGGAGGAGGTGTCTTCAGGCGGCTGGCAAAGGTTACAGGTGGAGGTTTGGATGGCAGTAGTGTACGAGAGGTGTAGGTGCTGGTTCAGGTTGCTGACAAAAGTTGTCAGTGGAGGTTGAGCAGTAGCGATCTGTAAAAATCTGCAGGTGGAGGTGACAGCTGCAGGTTGCTGACAGAGGCTGTGGGTGGAGGTTCGGCTGCAGTTGACTTCAAGAGGTGTAGACGCAGGTGCACTGGCAGAGGCTGTAGGAGGTGGTTTGGCTGTCAGCAGTGGCTGTCAGAATCTGCAGGTGGAGGCGGTGGCTGCAGGAGAAACTGGTGGTGGTTGCTGAGATGGGGTGGGGCACTCTTAGTTCTGGCGATGAGCAGGAGGGGTGGTGAAGGTGGAGGATGTGGAGGAGGAGGAGGAGGAAGCATCTCTGGAACAGCTGTTGTAGAAGGAGTTGTCCTCAGGGGCCTGAATCAGCTCCTGGTAGATCTGGAAGTATAAGGTGTTGCATTCAAATATAATTCATCCCCAAACTTCCATTAAAAATCCCATTACACTCAGAGTGTGCTGTTAATAAATCTCATACTACTATACTGTACGTACAACTTGGGAGGAAGAGGAGCTCTCTCTGTTTCATGAAGGCATCATCACAGTCAGTCAGGTTCATGTTGAGGAGTGTGTGCTCAGTCTTTCACACAATGTTTGAAAACACCTGTGAGAAGAAGAACAAGTGAACAGAATGTAAACAGAAAGCCAGCTTTAATAACACAGATATATTTTTGCATATTAACTGAAGGACTATATATGCGTGTGTTTCTCTGGTCCTTGCTGTTCCACTCAGGTCTCCACATGGCAGTAGGATAACATCTGTGCAGGTTTCCTTATAGAGGCTGTAGGTGGAGGCTCGGATAGCAGTTCACTTCGAGAGGTGTAGGCACAGGTGCACTGGCAAAGGCTGTAGATGGAGGTTTAGCCATCAGCTATTCAACAGAATGTGCAGTTGGAGGAGATGGCTGCAGGTTGCTGACAGAGGCTGCAGGTGGAGAGGAGTCTGTCATCTCACAGGCTGCAGAGCAAGGCTGATGTTTTGTCTGGTAGAAGTAACAGGTGGAGGCTGGAGGGTGGAGCAGGTGTTCTGGCAGGTGATAACTGTTGCTGTTGAGGCTGAAGCTGATTGAGAAGACTGTTAACAGAGGAGCATGAACTGATTCAGAGGAAGACAATTCATCAGTGGTGAGATACATTAAGATCAATGAAAGTAAACTTATCTCAAACTAAATACTTATTCTTAACACTACATTCTTAAACTTATTACTAAATACTTAAACTAAACACTTAATACTTATACTTAGCAGTAAAAATGTACACTTAATACTAAATACTTCAAATGAAATACTTTAACTAAAAACTTAAACTAAACACTTACTCTTAACACTTTATAGTTATACTTATGACTAAATACTTAAAACTTAACACTTAACACTTAATACTTATGCTTGGCACTAAAGACTTATCTCTACACTTAATAAACTTAAACTTAACTGCCATACTTAAAACTTAAAACTACTCAAATGAAACTTAAAACAACTAAACTAAACTTAAAGCACAGTGTTATTTAGACATGTCAGCTTATGAGAGTGTGTCTTAGTGCTTTGCCCTTTTTGCTGGTGGATATTCGGGCTCTGGTTCACCAGAAACATCCACGTTGAAGAGCGGAGGCTGGACTCCAGCACCGTAGGACACGTCCACATGGACCAGACCGTCTTCATCCACTGTCTCTGTGAACATCGGACGGTCCAGTCGCTCCCACAGCTTCTGCTTGATACGACAACCCAGACCCAAACTATATGGACGCAGGAGACCGTTCGGGAACCTGAGAGGAGAAACACAAAATAAATCTTTATGATGAAGGAAAATAGAGAGATAGATTTCTAAGAGAGTCTAAACTCTGTAAATGAACTGACTCATTTGATTTGTGACACAACGTACCTCAGCATGTTATCAACAACTTCATGGTAGATGAGCTGGTACTCCTCGACTGAGCGGTTGTGGATCCTGATAGGGTTGTCGAGGTGCAGGGGAGCAGTGGAGGTCCGGGGGCTGGGGGCCACATTAGAGACAGGGGGCAGGTCAGCAGGTTTAGGAGGAAGAGCAGCGGAGGTCTGCTTCCTTTTCTGGGGAAGGTCTGCAGAAGCAGCAGGGCGCCGGCGCTTTGTATGTGGCACCTGGAGAAGGTCAGCAAAACACGAGAGGATGTCAGACTCTAGTAAACTTCTTACTTAACAACATACTTTTATCATTTTACAAGAGGAAACATCTACATCAGATGCACTGCAGAGGATTACTTGAAATGTGAGTATTTGGGGCATTAGTCCTGTACAATGGACCTTGTCTAGTCTCAAACAAGTTAGTATTGACAATATACTCAACTATGTGTTTGCCTTTTTGTAAACCTGTCAAATAATCTTGTGGATTAAACTGTGTACAATTTCAAGGAACAGAGTTGAGGATCAGATGTCTCACCTGGTCGTCCCTGCAGCAGGGACACTGTCTGCAGACTGCAGGCCTCCTCTGGCGGGCAGAGACTCTCCTTCCTGTCTGGTTGTCCTGCGGGAGGACGGGCACTCGACCCTGCAACAACACACACTCATGTTAGGATGAGGCTACAAGTACATGCAGGATGGACCTTTTTCAAATATTTTGTCATGTCGTAGTATAAAAATAAAATGTGTTATTACTAGTTTTATGTGCTGGAAGATTAACTTGCCAAAGATGGATGTTGGATCAAAATCATAAATGAAGGAACATGAAACGTGTAATCAAAGTCTGAAAACCTCCTCAAGACGAGACAGGTCCGGAAACAAATCAAGACCCACCTTTAGGCCCTCATGTCAGTTAATATGTGCTTTATTGAGGCATAGGCCTATGTGAAGTGTATATAATATTATATTAAGCATATGTCTGTTTACTGTTTGAACATATAATATTGCACATCTGATGGAAATAATTACTTCAGAATAACTTTAATTAGCTACATTCAAAGTTACAATATGATGTATTTCAGCTTGAAGCTGGGTGGGTGATATAGCCTAGAAAGTTAATATAAATGATTTGTATTACTAATAAAAATCATTTATATGAACTTTCTAGGCTATATCACCTTTCAATTATTAGATATATACAACATTTAGTTTAGTTACAGTGTTTAATACGTTAAAGGAGCCTAAATGATTTGATAAACATCAGTAAACTGTGAGGTTTCTGAAAATGTCGACGGCAAATCACATTGGAAACAACGGGGACTTTCAAAGTCATGAAATCTTACATTTTCCATAATTAAAGTGTGTTTTCTCGCTGTAATAACTCTCAGGGGGTCTCTGACTCTTTTCGGGATGTAAAAAGACTTGAGTAGAAACGCTAATTTGGAAGAATCGTCGAGTGAAAGCGGAGAAAATATGTTCGTGACCGTCTTCAGGTAGTTTTCAGGTTGTTATGGTTTAAATATTGATCCGATATTGACGCTAGTCCTGCGTCAAACCATGGCAACCATGGAATCCTCTACGTCCATTTTGTGCACGCAGTCACGTTTCACCTGCTCTAATATAAAGTTTATACTATCAGCCTGAGATAAAGATAATGTAAATATGAATCTGTATAACTGGTATTAAACTGGAAATGTATTACACGCAGCTTTCAGTTTGCTAGTTTAGAAATAAATCACAATGTGCAGCAGAGAAAATATCTATCAATACATGGTTTATCGTTATCTTTAACCTAAAGACAAACCTCTATGGGAAAAAAGAATGAAAGCACTTGTTATTGAACTATTAGTGGTACATAGGCCTACCTGTTGATGTTGTTGTTAGTCTGATCATTACTCAAATACATACATCTAACACTGATCTAAAATGTAAAGTACAATCAGCCTGAGATGAAGTCCATGTCTTCATATGAATTTACAGATCTGAATGCTTCCAGTGTCTGATATAAAACGTGTTTAACTCTATAAATATATAAATGCTTACGTGCTGTGATTTCATTGCAATCATTATGTAAAATATAAACTAGATTTTGTTTAGCCTATATTTTCCAGTGAACCATACTGTGGCAACTGAAGACAAGATGGACCTGTGTTTTGTTAAGTAGAACATTAAAGAAAGAGTTTGTCTCTTTCATGATTGTTTTTTTGACAAAAGTTTCAAGTGAAGATTTACACTAATTTTATCTCTGTACATTGCCTTTTTTTTGTATCACAGGGCAGGGCTCTTCCTGAGTGTATGGCCTTCCTGAAGTGGGCAGGGGCGGATCTACCGGGTGGCATGGGGTGGCAACTGCCACCCTAAAAAATAGCCTTGCCACCCCAGCTGCCACCCCAGTTGGCATCTTTGTTTTGAAAGAAAAGTTGTGGCTCATCGGACATTTATGAGAGAAAGTCTCTAATGTCCGAGTGCAAATGAATGCTGCACAAGACGCGATCCTTGTAACCCCTCCCCCGGCCCTGGCGTGAGCTTGGAAATATGATAGGCGGCGATTTCATTTGAACGGGACGGCCCAAAACGAGAAGCATTCGGACCCAAGTAGACGGAAGGAATGAGGTATTTGCGGTCTACAATGACAGAGAAGAGACTGTCAAGTTTGGCTGTACTCAGCATTGAATCAAAACGCACTAAAACTGTTGATCTTAATAAGTTTGTGAGCGTTTTGCTGAACAAAATGGTAATCGCCGCATTCAGCTGTAATAGGCATGCAGAGGCGCGGGAAGGTATTTTGAGTGGGGGTGGACTCCGCTGTATAGAAAACTAGTTTCCATAGTTTCCCCACAGCAGCAGACGCACAAATGACGTCTGCTGGCGCATCATCAACACGTCGGATATTGAAAGTGCAGTCGGATTCTCAAAGCACCAGTCTCTTCTCCTAAGTCCTTTTGAAATCTCCTATCCACTATCCCTTAACCCTGTGACGTTTCACACAGAGGTCAAGGAATAGACGATAAGGATAGACGATAGGAGCTGATTTTTGGACTATTCGACAGCAACCTTTAACTGACTTTTCCTCCTGAAACAAAGCACAGTGTTCATCATCACTCAGTCTGACCCCTCCCTCACTAAAACATATTTTTACGCATAGCTATATATCACAGGAGGGTTGCTTTAATACACATTTACTGTAGTTGTTTATACCTTTTCAACTTTTCTTTGAAATATTAAGCTTCATCACTATTTGTCCTACTCTTCCAGTTTAACATTTCGCTTTCAACAAAGTCAGTGCATTTGAGCTGTAACAATTTTGATTCAAATCATTTCACTTTTCTGCATTTCTCCGCTAAGTTCAGCAGTTTGTAGCTAAAAGCAGCTACAGTCACCATTCAACTATTACAATATTTCATTTTCAGCTAAATTCAGCAACAAATGTGCACAGCTTAC